ACCAGTCCAGTCCAGTGCGGCACTCACCGCCACCAGCGGGTTGGCACTGAAGCGCCCAAGATGCGAAAGCCACGAGTACCCGCCGGTTGGGAGTCCGGAGTACCCGCCCAAGGATTCGGAGTAAGGATGCCTTCAAGTCTTTTTCTTTTGGGAAGACCGGGAGGATGGTGTAGTGACCGGTTCAAAGCTGAAACAAAGCTGTAGACCTTCTTCTCAAGCTGTAGAGATGACCAGAAAGCATCTGATCCATCTATTTGTGTGAAGTGAACTTCCTGACTACTAGGAACAAGGACGCTACTAGGGGCTCTTGGCCTTACTACTAGGAACAAGGACGCTACTAGGGGCTCCTGGCCTTAACACACATAAACGTTGTAGGTTGGAGGCCATCGCTCTTAGGCCGTTGCTATGTTCCCATCCGTCGGGTAACCCGCGGCTCTTCAAAACAGTTCGACTCTTCAGGCACGTGGCTCTTCAGCCACAAGTGACTTGTATTTGCTTAAGAATCAGGCCTGGATAAAAGCACTATAGCTATATATATATATGGTAATTACTGACATGTATTGCTGATAATATACATATCTTCAATACATTGAGACTACAACATTATACAATCAATAACATCTTCCCATGCGTTCCCATGCCTGGAAACCCTTTGTGATGGGAAATCGCTGATGGTTGGGATTCTTTTAAAGGGAATTGAAAGGTTGTGCTTCCAACCGTATAGCTAAGAATCCAGGCCCTCCAACATAAAGGGCTATGGGTTATGATATTAAGGGCCCAACGACTCCTAGGGAAGTGGCACTTAGAAACCATTACAAACCACCTTTATAAGCAATGCAACTAGCATCAGCAGGCTTTGCCCACCAAATGTGCCGACGGATTTATATAGGCGCTCTGAAAGCAAAAGGACCCAGCCGGGGGCCTGCTCAGGACACAAAGATGGTCGGACCCTCCAACAGCTTGTTGTCAGGGTCCTGAACCCTCCAGACCGAAATGGGATCAGGATAAGTATTTAAGGTACCAGGCCAGTCCTTGGGGGGTGATGTTCACACTTCCATTGCTTACATGGCCAATTTGGCAAAACATGGGTGGTTGTTTGATGTACAGTCGGCAAGGAGTCCAGGATGGCAGAAGTCCTACAAAGAAGCTGTGGTTATGTGTCAGCACAGCCCCCATTTTAGCTTGTGCCCTGCTTTCAACGCCGCAAAATGTCAGCACCAAAATTGTGTGCGCGGACGAGGCGCCGGCATCCCTAGAGGATGCACGCCGGAAGAGGCTTCGTGCACACAGGGCGGGCAAATGTCGAAGAGCAACTATGCAGGTAAAGACTGTGCAGTTCAGAATCTCAGGCTTCCACTAATCAATTATATCTTATATCATATAATATACATTCTGTAGATTTCTGTAGTACCATTACCACTCAACAACCCTTCGCTCATTCCGTGCTGGTTTATGTGGGGCTCGGTCCCAAACCGGCAGGATTTGAGCCATTCGAGTTCCAGGACCCAAGAAGTGGAGTACAACCAAGAATCTCGATCCGGCGGTGTCCAATTATGTAGTGTGTTGATGAATAAAAACAAACATGGAGATGTAAAGCCATTCTGGTAAGAGGGGTATCTGTATTGTCGATCCAGAGTCTACATACATTGCTCCCTGAACATAGAATAAGAATCACTTCTCACATGAAAACAGGTACTCCTAGTTGGTCCTAGACAAAACATTCCTTCTTTCAAGACGAATATGCTTTCCTGCAATCCATGTCTAACGATTCTTTGCCCACACTCTGCAGTGCCGAACTACAGCCCTGATTCTTCCGTTCGACCTCTCCTGAGTCCATCCCCCCCTCAGCATCAAAGGTAGCCCTCCTGCTCATTGCACTGCAAGAGTGCACTTCAAATCGATGAAACACAAACCTTTTGATGTGGAGAAGCAAACGATGGAGGAAGTATATAGTCTGAAAAAAATGACTCCACAAAAAGTAAAAACATGTAAAAACACACAATACAGGAAGTCTGGTCTAGAAATTGTTTGTTTTAGAGGAGATAAATTGGACAGCCTTTCCTGTCCGTTGCCATTTGCAATTGTTCCGGTGCTAAGCAGGAGGAAATCTAAAGAAAAACAAATGACAGATTCAGTCGTGAATGTTATTGAAAAAAACATTCTAAACAACTCATGTAAATGAATTGCACGGGTGCCTGAACCACCCCCTTTCTAAAACAATGCTGTTGGCAATACACGTGACAAAACAGCAGTGCAGATTCCCTGGACCAAACATGAACTAACAATAGGACAAAAATTGATCAATATCACATAACCCCAACAAAAACAAACGGATATCAATAGGAACCATCGTGGTGGAGGTGGTGGTGGTTGGTCAGTTTAAAGAGAAACGGGAGAGGCACAATTGAATCAATACCAACAAAAACAGTCCCAAACAATTCAAGGGCCGGAGATGATTTATCAAGAACTGTGGAGGGTTTTATGCCACTTTACAAATCAGGATCCCCCTACACTATAACAACATAATCAATTTGTAGTATTTGAATAATATAATCTCCCATGGTTGATATTGAAAGTTTGGAAATTCACGGCTGGGGCCAATTCACGTGATTCAGTTTCAACGACCTGGCCCCGCCGGGTGGAGTAGTGAGTTCTTTGAAACTGTTCGGGCTTGGAACAAGAAGAGAAAGTCGGAACTCTGCGGAAAGTCACTAATATGATTGGTGCAAAGCGTGCGTACTTTGATGTACTTTGTTTCTGCCTGAAGATGGCTTGAGGCGCCATAGAAGTTTCATATCGTATCGCCATGGTTGGTCGGGGGATGTTGAGGGCATCCTTACTAGAAAACAAGTGATAAAATTGCACGATATGACATGACCGACTTGCTAGAACAGCATGAGCAACTGATGCTCTCTCACATGTGGTACGACTCAGCGGAACAATTCCAACTCTATAACTATGTGAGAACCGCAGCACCGTTTTGATCCGTTTTGGAAAGCCCCTTCGCCGCATGATGCCCCGGGCGTTGGGGCAACGAGGGGTGGACCCCACAGTCGTCCCAGCGATGAGGTCTGGGGCAATCCGGGGGCGAAGATCTCCCCGTGCAGCCTGACCCGACAGTCTTGGCCCTTTTCTGGTCTTTGAGTGCTCCTTGGTCTTTGAGTGGAAGGAACCGGAACCACATCAACGCCAAGGTCAAGAAGGACCTCCGGTGTCACATCCGGTGTTTCTTCGGATCGACCAAGGCACTAAAGTCGAGGAGGGTTGTTGGACGATGACCGTGGCTTTCCTGAGCGGTGAAAAAAAAGAAGCTTCAGCATGATGATATGCCATGAGTGTTGCTTATAACATTTGATTAGGGAGGCCGGGGCACCGTAACAAACCAAAAAGAAGAACTGCAACACAAGTGAAAATATGCCTATTATCCCTGCGTGCCAGACGCACTCGCAGGCACTGGTGTGGGGAGAACAGCGACCTGGACCAGCACAGCTCAAACAGCAGTGCAAGAGGGTTTATTCAGGCTCAGGAAATCACAACCACCTTCAAGTTTCCTGTAACTTTAAAGGCTGCAATGAACAAACAAGGAGAGGGCGGGGTCAAAAAGAGAACACAGCCAAGCAAAACCCGTGGCGGAGGGTCACACAACCGCCAACAGAAACATGTCATGCAGGCAAATCCCCGTTTCTTGTACGCTCGCGTACACGTCTCAGGCACGCGTCTATCAGGACCTCTTGACGAGGTGTCGAGAGGAATGCACTACTTCTCGACTTCCATTGAAGACCGTGAACACCCTTGGCCGCCTTGGCCCGGCATTTCGGTCAATGGGTTCCATGTTCAACAAGGGTCACCTGGAGTTGCAAGCCTTCAAGGGCCTTAGCCAGCATGGTGTGGCAAGTAGTTCAGGAGAACGCTGACAGGCCCCAAGTCTTGTTGATGATCTCCTTCAACTCGATCGCTTGCTTCCAGTGCTCGGGGAGCATGTCAGATGGCTAAGAGGGCGCTCCCGAAGTCTGGTCATCTCCAGGCCGCGCTTCGTGTCCTTTGGCACTTCTGCGGAGAAGTGAAGACTTTCTCCATCACTTCAAGCGGTTTCTTCAACATCCTGTGCATTGGAGTCCAGCGCAAAGGATCTCTACGCAGGAGACGCAAACTGTTTCACCAGAAGACCCTTGACAAAGGTTCTCTTGCCGCTTGCCCCCAACCAGTCTCACTACCCCTAAACTATCTAACCTGGTGGGGATACCTGGGGTGACCTTCAAGCCCTCTGTGTTTAGCAATGTTGCTTTGGGCATGTTAGTGTGTTCGGGTCCACTTGCAAGACTCGGCGTGCCTATATAGAGGTGAATTTCCAAGAGCCCGTCATGGCAGTCCATCAATACATGGAGTAAAAGATCCAACTAATGTTGACTCTACTGGACTCTACTGACCAAAAAACGTCGACTATCAGGACCCACAAGGGGGTACCATACGGACACCCCGAAGGGCATCTCGAATGGTGGCCCTGGTAGAGACAGAGAGAGAGAGAGAGAGATTCTGCATCGGAATGGTGGAAGACCTTCGTCGGTCCATCCAATCATCTCGTTGCCGAGTGACTCACAGTCATCCGTGGTCGAAGCATATGGCCTTGCAATCAGCACGAGTTGTGGGCTGTGAAAACGCAACTCAACTGTACTGCCCACATCTGCCCATCCCCATCCGCAGCTTGGACCCTCAGGTTGACCTACCCTCGGTCTCCGGTTCGCCGAAGAGTTCGCCAAAGGGCCAGGTCAACGCGGGCCCGGTGCGCGTGGCTCTCAAGGCAAGCACCTGGAATCCGAAGGGAATCCGAAGGAAGGGGTCATGGGAGGCGTCTTTTTTGTGGGGGGAAGACCAGGTGGTGGATCAGTTTTTCTTGTCAACGACCGATTCGAAGGTCGAGAGAAACAAAAGCTCTCAAAGTCCAAGCGCCATTTCACCGCAGGCGAAAGGGCGAAGTGCAAAGAGCGTTAGCTCAGGGATCCCTAGGATTGAGCATGAAAGGAGTCGGTTGTACCAACATGGCAATCGGGTGGCTTCAAATTCTCACTGGTCTTTTTTTCTTTGGTACAACTGGCAATTCCGCTCAAGAGGCCTTCGTTGGCCGGATGGTCCAGCAAAATGCTGAAAGGTGCATTCAGCCACTTTCTGAAGGTGGTCCGCAGCAGCTCGCTGACTTTCGTCAGCCCATCAGCGAACTGGCAGTTCGAAGGGAGCCAGTGCATCCGCGACTTGTCCACTGTCTCCTGGATCGCCCGCACGTTGCAAAGCGAGCGCTTGTCCGTGAGGTTTGGTGCCTCGCTGCAAATGGCGTCATACAGTGATTTGGCGTCCGTGGTCTGGACGTAGTCTACTCGGCATCCCAACCGGTGAGCCGGGCCATCGAATAGGATCTCACTGAGGGTCATGTTCACGTATGCAGCTCGGTCGCTTGCTTCGTCGGCTGCAGAAGCCTCTGCGGCCAGTGTGGACCGACATACTCGCGCCGCTCGGCGCGATCTCCAATCTATTGGAGTGAAGCTTGTCGGCATAGATCGAACCTCAGGTGGGCACAGTCCGATCATGATCCCGATTTGGGATCCGCTGCGAGCGGCATTGCTCCAAGAGGCATCACTGTAGGTGACGATCACCGTCTTGGTGTTCACGGGGATGTCTTGCATGAGAAGTCCTTCGTGCGGTGTGTTCTTCAAAAAGCTCATTGCCTCGTAGAGGTCCTTGAGGTTATGGCAGGTGGTTTCGTTGCCCTGGTTTGAAAGGCTTACCGCCGCTCCTATCTCTGGTCTGCACTGTGTGGATGCCCATTGCAGGCAACCTGACACCGATCGGAATTCACGTTGTTCCGTTGGTGTGAGCTCTGGAGGACTTGAAGTCCTTCCTTTTGGAAGCTTGGCTGGTGTCAGTCCGTTGAGGAACTTGGACATAGTGATCTTGAGCTTCCAGCGCTTGTTTGCAAGCTGGTGTAAGTGCAGCTCTTTTCCCTTGAAGGTCACGACCTGCTTGGAGAGGTCATGGAAGGAGCCCCAAGCAAAGGCGTTCTTGACCTCTTCGATGGGGTAACCACTCCTGTAGACTCCAATGAAGTCGTCTACGTACACCAGTATCATGGAGACGATCTGTTGACCTTCACGCTTGATGAAAAGCATAGGGTCAAAGCTGTGGCGAGTATAGTTGAGCTGCTTGAGTCGTGCCACCACTTCACTGCACCATAGAGCTGGTGCATTTGCTAGCCCGTACACGTTGCCCATCACTTGGTACAAAGGGTGTGACCAGCATGGCGTCATCTCGATGAGTCCGTCTTTTGGAGGGTACATGTAGAGCTCCATGGGTCTTTCAGAAGGCTGTTGGCCCTGTAAGAAGGCCGTGGCTGCGTCTGCAGTCCAGGCGTGCCACTTGAGCTGGGTCTCGAACAGCTCGCCATTGGCTCCGGCCGTGATCATGGCCAACATGAGCATCTCTGTCGTACGGCCTGGAGTGGGGGCCGAACGGTCCAGCAACTCCAAGTCTGGGTCCAAATGGCCCAGGCATACAATACGGCATTTTGCCTTCAGCTCGCCTTGACCGACATTTTTGTCACGATGGCAGGCTCTGGATCTCAGGATCCTTTTGGAGAGGATCTTGTCTCGGAGCACCTTCTGCGCCTCCTCATGAGAAAGAGGTCTCACGCTCCTCCATTCAGACCAGGAATTGGCCTCCTTGATGATGGAGTCCAAGAACTTTTCCACGTAAGGACGTGGCATTGCTGCTATCTGTCTCCAGGGGATTTCCCTGTCGAGTTGCTTGGCTTCTTGTCGTGTCATGCTTCTGCTGAGGGTGTTTTGCTGGTGTGCTTCTGCTGATGTGTCTGAGTCTGCGCTGGTGTCTGACTCATGTGCTGGTTTGTCGGTTCCGTCGACGTCTTGCTGTCTTTGCTGTGTGGTTAGGTATATCTTGTGGAATCTGCAGCTTGCTTTGCCGAACCCTTGTGGTGGTGTGCCTCCCCATGTCGGGTTCATTGTTGTGATTGTGCCATCTGCTTCGAATGCCAGTGTGTGCATGCTGTCGAATGGTCGCTTCTGAGGAAGCGTTGGCAGGGCCTCCTGCTCCATTGCTTCTTGTTGTGTCTCTGGCGGTAGTTCAACAGGTGTGCCATGTAATTCTGCCGATTGTGGTGGAACTTGAAGGTTTCCGCCATGTGCTTCGGCCGCTGCCGCTGTTGCTGTCATTGTCTCTGTGTCTCTGTTGTCATGCTGTTGTTGATGTAGTGCATGAGGTCTGACATCTCTCGATGAGGGGGATGCAGTAGAAACAGCAGGCAGGTGTTCTGCCGATGTTGGTTGGTGAAACGGTTCGCTCTGCGGTGTGGTATGGCCCAGTACGGCCATGGCATTGTCTGCCAAATGTTGTGGTGCCAAGAGTGTGGCTGCCGAGGCAAGTGCTGATGTATCAGCCAGTGCAAAGTCATCCGGCTGCGTTCTAACCTCCTTAGGGGGTGAAGCGGCCTGCGATGATGTTGGACCTTTTGTGTACGGTCCGTGTTGTCGTCGGGATCGTGAGAGTGACTTGGGAAGATCCCCAAATCTCTGGTGCACCGTGGTGTGCTGGTGATGAATGTTAGTAGGGCTATCGATGTGTACTTGAATAGCCGTTGCCTGTTGGTGAGCCACTGGTGGTGGTGGCGTTGCTGGCGCTGCCGTTGCTGGTGTAGCTGGTACCATCATTGATGGTGTTGGAGGCGGTGGAGTGCCATCATACTCCACTGGCATGTCTGCCAGCTCTTCTGGGGGTTGTTCTGGCGGTGGTTCGCCTCGTTCGTCCTCGAGCATGTGCTGGGTGAATGAGTCAGCAGCATTCTTCAGAGCCTTGATGTCTTCCTGGTCGGGAGTCCAGTCTTCGAAGCCGTGGGCTGTACGGAGCTGCTCTGCCGTCACCAAAGTGGTCGAGGCTCCCAGTCTCACCCACGCCTGTTTGCCGACGTGGCCAGGATCCCAAGACAGGAATCTTGCAGTCAGCCAAGCTCCTCTTTTCCTGACTCCTCTCTTCGACCAACGCCAGACAGCGCAACGTTGACCAGGTTGGAGATCAGGAATCGCAGTATTGCGAGTTTTCCTCAACAATGCCCTCCTCAGCTGTTGACTTGCGTTGAGGTCCAACAAACATTTTTGTGCCTCGCATCTGACCAGTTCTGCTCGAAGCTTGGGGTTATAGTTCTCGTCGAAGGCCTGAGTCGAACTTGAGAGGACTTTGTCATCCGTAAGGATGTCATTGGGAAGGCGAGGTTGTCTTCCAAAGACTGCTTGGTACGCTGAGCGGCCTCGAGAGTAAGCCATGTTGTTGCTGGCATGGCAGGCACCAATGAGGATGCCGGGGAGATGTTCTTGTGTGGTCACAGCAAACTGGTCGACCAACTTCTCAATGGTCAGTCTCAAGATGGCGTTTCGCCTCTCAACCATGCCGATCTGGAAGTGAGCTTCTGGTGCGCAATGGTCCACCATGCAACCCATGCTTTGGAGCCTTGCTTCAAAGTTGCCCCGAAAAGTGTGGTCCGGGTCACACCTCAGGAGAAGTGGAACTCCGAAAGGTCTCAACCAGATGTCCTCCAAGATGCGGAACGCTGTGTCGGCATTCCGGTCTGGCATGAGTCCGGCCATGTGCAAGCCAGTAGCTTTGTCGATGACTCCAAGGATCGGGTACGACTGCCCGGTCATGAGGCGGATGTAGAAGATGTCGGCTTGCAGTTCATCGCCAAATTGGCCGGCGATCATGGAGGGCATGGATGACGGTCGTGGTTCTTGCGGTGGCTTCAATCGACGGCATGTCGAACAAACCAGTCCTTGTACGGCCTTGATGACCAAGGAAGGGACTGATCCCTGTGAAGCCAACAACCGTAGTAGTTCCTGTGGTGAAGGATGTGAAGCCTTGCCACTGATCTCTTGATCGTGGAGTCCAGAGCTTCCTTGGTATCGAAGGAGACGTCGGTCATGAGTCCAGGGACGATAGCAGGTTTGTCACTTGAGGCTGGGGCTTGTTCTCGATGTTCGGGTGCCATCATCCTGAAACCATATGCGAAAACAGCTATCTCCACGGGCTTGTCAAACCGCTGTCTTGGGAATTGGATCTCGTCGAGGTCCTCTACCTCGACTGCCCGTGTTTTGTCCATGTACTGGAGAAAGGCAGCACGAGTGAAGTACTCGTCAACATTTGAAGGAATCCTTCGACAAGTAGGGGCAAAGCATGCTTGGATCTTAATGGCTTTGACCCGAAAGAGCTGTTGGATGTTCCTGCCCATCTCGGTGTCCAGCGGGATTTCAAATGGCCTCTTGTTGGAACGCTCATAAGCTCCGGAGATGTAGTTGGCAACGTCGTTCCAAGCGTCCAGGTCCGTAGTCGGGTAGGAGACTGCGAGGACGTGGTGTAGAGGTCGGCCGAAACGAGTGGGCTCCTTTTGGAAAGCAATTGCTCGTAGCTCTTGCAAGATCTGCCGGCATAGGTTGTCAGGGTACTCCTGACTCCTTCTTGTCAATGTTCCTTGAACTGGAGTGCAGTACTGCTTCTCAAGGTGATCTAGACGTCGATGTAGGGCGAGGTCCATGCCAGGTGCGTTGCCAACCCATCGCATAGGCTTGCATATGGGTTGTCCGTCAACTTCGGCACCGTAGGCGCCAGCATCCAGGGTCGTCGACCAGACACCTGGTAGGGCAAGAAGTTCTTGAAGTGCTGGTTCTTGCCATAGGCGAGATCTGAGGGGGTTCTCAATGAGAAAGAAGCGCCCATTCATGTATTGCTCTTTGGCGACGTCCGTTGCGAAATGGACGAGGAGTCGTTCTTGCTGCTGAAGAACTTGAAGTTGCTCCTGCCGTTCTGGAGAGGACCAATTCAAGTTGATGGAGAACTGGTTCCATAGGCGGCAGTCCACTCCCATAGGGATCAACCATGGCTTGAACTTCTTGATCTTGTGCATGATGTAGTCCCTCGTTGAGGCATCCTTGAAATCCTGCCCAAAACGAAGGTCCATAGGCTGAAGGGCATTCAGCTCGTACTCCTGGGCTAGTTCCGTCATTCTCGCCTGGCCAGCAAAAAGTTCCCATAGATCAACACATGGAGGTGGGCGATGAGCAGCATGATGTGCCAGGTAGGTGTCATTCTCGACGATGTAGACCTGAGCAGCTCGTCTCATGTCGCCTCGCAACCTCTTTGCCGTTCCGGGCTTCATGGTGGAGTGAGAGGTGCCGGATCGGTGGTCAGTTCGAGGTCGTCCACCAGGCCCCAATCCAAACTCTCCTCCTCCCAGTCTTCGATCTGCCATAGTACTTCTTCCGGGATCACGCCGAGGGCCACCATGCGACGGACTCGAATGATATTCGCATCCCTCTCCAGCTTCTCGCGGTCCTCCTTGAAGCCCTCTTCGAAGAGGAACGCGTGGTGTGCCCAGCTGTGAGGCTCTCTGTCCAGGGGTGAGCCCTGTTCGCAAATCTGGTAGACCTCGTAGTCCTGCTCCGGCGTGAGGTGGTCCATCTTGAGCTCGTACTCCGCCCGGAAGTCGGTCCAATAGCGGGTCTCCGTGGATGTCGAGGCTGCTGAAGAGGAAGTTCCTGGCTTGGAAACTGTCTTCCGCTTGATCTTGGGCTTCGCCTTGCTCTTTATTGCTGTAGCCTTGGGAGCTGTCTTGTCCTTCTCCTTGTTGGAGGGCGGTAGTGGCAATGGCGACGATCGTGCAGAGTAGCCGACCGATCCAACCCATACTTCCCATTCTTCTCGACCTGCGTTCCACTTCCAAGTCCTCAGGCACTTCCGGCATTTGCCGTACCGGCCGTGCATGTTCCCGTAGCGCTTGATGTCCTTGTGGTCGCACTTGTCCTTGCCTCGTTCAACCAAGTCTTGGGCATGATGCCCAATCGCACCGCTACAGCCATCGCGGTCCACACACCTTTCTTGAACTTCATGAGGCGGCCAACCATCCGTCGCCAGTGGATGAGCCATGGTGCCGGTGTGCTCTGCATGGCCGGGGGGCTTCGAATTTGAAGTGACCTGGGTCACACGATCTGTCATGGGCTCCGGCGGCAACAAAAGTTCTGGATCAGGATCATGCCAGAGCTCTGGTGAGGTGAACTGTTTCCAAACATGCCACTCATGAACGTCTTGGTGGTGAGGCACTTCAAACAATGGAATACAAAAATGTCCACACTTCACATGCAGTTCAACTGTGCAATCCAAACTCGAAAAACGAACTGTACGGCTCGGGAGGTCGATGATGGTGCCCAACTTGTCCATCAAACTATTCGAACCAAGCAGGGGGATGTCTTCCGGCAACAACCCAGCTCCCAAAAGGCATGGGTGGTGTCCGAAAACAGTGGGCATGTACACACGACGCGAAGCGATGGTAGGGTCACCTTTCCCAAACTGGTACATGTCCTTGGTGGGGATGATGTGGCAACTCATGTTGAAGTCCTTCAAAAACTTTTGGTGGTGCTCGAACCAAATCTCCCCACAGCATGTCCGCTGGCAGGCGGAGTCCAGTACCATGAACCCTGCAAAGCTTTCCCCCGTAGTGGTGCTACTCTTGATCTCATGGATCGTGAAGGGAACCGAGACCATGTAGGTGGTAAAGCTGACCCCGTAGGTGGATTGAGGCTCTTCTGAGATTTGCAGGCTTCCGTGTTCATGGTGCTGCACTACGCTCACGTGGTGCGGCTTGTCACCCTTTTTGCTTGGCTGGAAAGTCGAGGAGCGGTAAGAAGTTGCCGATCCCTTTGAGGCTCCCTTTGAAGCCTTGCCTCCTTTGTTCATGGGGCATTCAGCATCGGCGGCCCAATGGCCTAAAGCACCGCAAGCGGAACAGTGTGTCACCTTCCGCAACTATTCTGGGCTCTTTTTGGCCTTTTTGGCCCCAGTCGTAAATTTTCTGCCCAACGTCACGCCACTTAGTTTTCTGGCGGTGACAGTGAGGACATTTGCTAACTCTTGTAACTCAAGGTCTCCCTGCTCGTCGTCTTCGAGAAGTTCTGGCTCTTCGTCTTCTTCAGGCGGCTCATTGTCGCCTTCATCCGCCTCAGGGGCGAGGTGCTCTCCCTCGGCGGGGTCTGCCTCATCATGTGGCTCTTCCTCCACGGTCTCCGTCATGAAGACTCTTCTGGGCATGGTACCCTTTCCACTTGAAGGTCTCGAGGAGGGCGCCGTCGATGTCAGAGAAGTGGTACTGGAGGAAGACTGTGACATAGTGGACTTGCCTTGCTTCCCATAGCCTTTGCCTTCCTTGGTGAAGATCGGTGGAGGTGGCCTGAACTCGGGCCACTGGAGTGCGAGGGTCTCGGCAATGGTCTCAAAGGCCAGGCTTTGTTGGGTACCGACTAGAACCATCCTCTGGTCGGAATGGCTCAGTCCACTCCGGTCCAACAGTCGTGAACCGAGGGCCTCCTCGTCAAAGGTCGCATTGATCTCGATGCCAACGGCCCGTAGGGACCTCATCACCCTTCGAAAGCGAAGGACATAGGCCCGCATGGACTCACCTGCAAACCTCCTCATGCCCTCGAAGTCCTGGAGGAAGCGCCTTTTCTGGTAAATGTGCCTCTGCTCGAAGGGCCTCTGCAGCAACTCAAGGATCTTGGAGACCCCATTCTCCACATAAAGCTCCTCGACGGAAAGGTGTTCGAGTTCTTGTTCTGGTTCTCCGGTCAAGCTGTTGTAGAGCAAAAGGGCCTGATCCTTTCCTGTGGCATAGGGTCTCATTTGAAGCTGCCATATTTCAATTTTCTTCTTGAACTTGGCGAAGGCTCCCATGTCGCTGGCGTCATACTTCCACACAGGAACTGGTGGGTATTGACCAGTCTTCCACTTGATCCCGGGCTCGGGACCTTTCTTGCTGTTCCATGAGGCTCCAGTTCTGTCTGACTCATCGTCCTGTTTCTTCTTCTTTCCACCAGTGGTGCTCCTGTCGGTGCCGGGTAGATCAGGTAGTACAGGATCGGGTTGTTGGGGTAGGACATCTGGTCGAGGTAGTCGAGGGTTAAGTTTCCCACGCGGCTGAACTGGTACTTGAGAGCCGCGAGGATGAAGACCAGTGTCATCCTTCTTCGAAGGCCTGGGGCCTGGTGTCGATGGGCCTCCAGGACCTGCTGCGGGACGAGGAGTCTTGCCGCCAATGATCGATGGAGGTGGCGTAGGCTCAATTATGGGGTCCAAAGTTGGGACCTCTGACTCAGCCTGTTCACGGTCCTCACCAAGTTCATCGTCGTCATCTCCGTCGGGAGGGGTGTCCGACTTCTTCACGCGGTTCTTCCGCCTTCGCTGTCTCTTCACAGGAGTCCTGGGTGGGCCATCTGAGGGAGCATGCGAAGGTGAGGATCCTGCTGCATGTGGGACAAACATCCAAACTCCACTAGGTGTGACGGTCTTGGTGTGCCTGTGAGCATGGTAGTACTCATGGGAGCCGCATGCCAAGCATCTCCAAGTGTCGTGCAGCATCTCAAACTCGTCCTTGTGGCACCTCATGCACCGCCATGGTGAAGTCGGAGGGGGCTCAACAACGTCATCCTGGATCGGGTGCTCCGGTGCAACATCTGGGGCGTCCGACCAAGCGCCAGCAAAGGAGGCCATCTCGGAGGGGCGCATCGCACCAGGCACGTAAAAGGCTCCGGTGCCAACTTGTCAACGACCGATTCGAAGGTCGAGAGAAACAAAAGCTCTCAAAGTCCAAGCGCCATTTCACCGCAGGCGAAAGGGCGAAGTGCAAAGAGCGTTAGCTCAGGGATCCCTAGGATTGAGCATGAAAGGAGTCGGTTGTACCAACATGGCAATCGGGTGGCTTCAAATTCTCAGTTTTTGTTAAGCCAACTGGACGATGAAACATGACTATAAACACATTTGAGACCTGGGCTTATTGTGCTTCACACATTTTGATTTTGGAGCAGAATCCCGGGTTAAGAAAACGCGATAGTGTAACTCTGTCCCGTTCGAAATATACACAAGGCAGTTCAACAAGGTGTGTATACATACAAATATTCTACCCTTCGTGGGACCTTACAGCAGGATCCAAATAACCTCGATGGAGCCAATCCCATTGACCAAAAGCAACTCGGGAGATGATCCTCTCCAGCCTCTGGCCGCGAACGCGCGCCGGACCCGGAACCGGCGCCGTTCCCCGGCACCTGCGTGGCCGAAATCACCTGCCGCGAGAGCCCGGGGCTCACGCGGCCCACGCGCACGAAGACCGAGCTCGACGAGCTCGACGAGCTCACCGGTGCCGGCGGAAGGAAGCGGAGCGAGCGCTGGGGGCCGCGGTAGATCCTGGCGGTGCAAGACCGAAGGGTCCACCGTTTCGCACAAGCTGCGCAGCTCACACAGTGAAAAGACATGCCTTTGGAACCAATGCTTGCCTACCAACACAACACGTTCAAGGACATAAGCACATTGCACAATCATCTTCGCCCAAGGATTTGACTCACCACAAATGGGCAGGACCCAAAACTGGATATCTCTGTTGGTATAACTACGCCGCAACATCTAGCAACTATAGTGAACTAACTAGTGGTCATCCAGGGCAATGCCCAAGTTGATGCCGTCACGGGCCCGCTCAAGGAAGTCTCTGAGGAGCCCGCTCGATGTGATTCATCTCGACAACAAAAATGGAGCTGTCCTGCTGGGGTGCAAAATTGCAAGGATACCGCCTGATACCGCAGTCACATGTGTGACAAGTGACTGAGAATCTGAGACGACAAGTGCCTTTCACCACAGCTCTGAGAGTCTGATAGACGGGTCTGTGAGTCGGTTGTGCGAGTGAATGCGAGTGAGCGAGGTCTTTGGGTCGCAGTTGAGTAACTCAGTGAGCTGAGGAAGGAGGAGGCAAGAATGGGGCACACCAACTGAGCCTGTGCTGCCTTCTGTAGGCTGATCTGATCCTCAACCAGCTGAGTAAGACGGCCCGGCCTTGGTTGAGCCTGTGAGGGTCCTCCAAAATGGTTTCCGGACCAAGCAGCAGGATCTACTCCATCCACAACTCGGATGTTCCCTCTAAACGTCTAAAGGTCTCCCGGTTTCGAGTGAAGGTTTCCCGGTTTCTGACCCGTGTCAGATGGATTTTGTTTCCGACCAAACATCGTCCGCCAGATCCATCGCCCCACCGACGAACGTTGCGACGACCGGTCTGATGACCTGATTTAAAGCCTCACCATGTTGGCCACA